AAGTACGCTTACAGACATAATCAAAAACTAAATTTCCGACGATTCTTCAAATGAAAGCTATATAATTTATAACTTTAACTCTTATGATACCTTGTTCTTATATTAAAATCGTGGTCAACAAAACATCTGGTACAGCAAAATTGGTGTGTAAAGAAAAGGTCATTTATCGGCTGAACATTCCTAAGATAACTACGATATAGTATAAAAGATGCAATAAGATTTTGATTATGTGCTGACAATAATTTTGATAACAAGCATTTAAATGCAAAGTTTCGGTTGCTGGAGAAACTAAAGAGTTGTTCAAAGGAGGAACCTAATGTATGGATGATTATTCATTTAGCAGCTCTACATATATTAGTATAGTAGCTTGATACTGATCAGGAATATATGCCACACCCAAAGGCTTCGTAGAGGATTCTCCTTCAACTTGCTAGACATTTCCTGAGAAATCAGATAATTATAATACCCTCTGCAAGGGCACCAAAAGGCACCAAAGCACATGCATATTTGCAACCATATAGTATATGTATATTTTATTATTATATAGACTTTGCTTTAAACTAAGAGACAGAAGTAGGTGACGTTGACGTCGGCGTCGACGTCCGTGATGACTTCATGTGAATGACAGCAGAGCAGGTCAGCTGAGTATACGAATGAATGAGTGAGAATGAGAGGAGGAGATCACTGATAGCAATCAAAAACTATATTTATTTCTATTTTTGCCTCTTTGTTTTTGCTGCTAGTTTGTGTTATTTAGCACTAAGGTAAAAGCGCACAAAACAATAGCAACTTCTGTTGTTTTTATTATTTTTGTTGTTGTCATTATTTACCAGAGCCGGTTTGCACTTAAGTTGAGCATTTGATTTAATCAGCGGCAGGGGTGTACAAGTACGAATACGAGTATATCTGCAACTGTGGCACAGTGAGTGTTTGTGTTTGTGTGCGTGTGCGTGTGCCAAACAAAACAAACATTTGTATACCCTGAACCCATTGAACATGTCTAGAAGGAATATAATGTTATTGTGTTTCTTTTCCTATTAATGTTTATAAAGTGCTTTGACTCAGTTTAAATCATCCTTTGATCTTGTAGTTTTACTTGCAGCTATTCTCTTAAAATGTGTCAAGCACTTAAATATTTAACAGCCTTTTAAGGTTGTGTGCCTATTTTAAATATTTAACCGCATATTATCAGGATGATAAACAAACATATTGCCTAGCCAAACCACTGCTTCATTAACATTTTAAATTTAAATAAGTTTACATTTAATTTTCGTTTTCAGGTCACCTTTTAATCAAATGTAAGCAAGTCTGAGATTTAATTTAATCAGAGATTAAAACAAACACATGCGACTAGCTGAATGACACAGTCAAGATACCATCGCTAAAAGGTATTTAGATTAATTGAAACGAGGTCATATGCAGAGCGACCACAAGCACCGGCTGTAGAAGCAGGAGCTGGGGCAGTGGCAGGGGTAGGGACAGGGGGCAGATGCAGTTGCAGCAGCCGCAGCTCAAGTTGCTGATAACTTTTATCGTAGATACAATTGCCGTTAGATGTATGTCAGGGACTGGGCACAATTTAAACGGCCGCTTGGGTGGTAAGCACAATTGTGGCATGCAGCAGGCGGCTGCAGGTCGTTGCGCCCATGCAACGTTAGCTCGACAATGGCGCAACATCCTGTGGCTGGCTTAAATGTGAGCGCAGCTCTTCAGACGCTTATGATAAGCACAAACAACTCTTTCAACCCGCTCGACAGTTGTACAAACAACAAAATGGAAAAACTTTGTTTGTGAGGGGAGAAGATTAAATACCCTTCCTGCCAAGATCCTCAAATGCGATATGGTTCTAGACATCATTTTTCATTCAAAAACTTCTATTCCAGATGCTTCTTTTTATCGAGGTTTAAAGATATAGTTGTCAAATGTCCTTAATCTTAATGTTAGATGGTAGAAGCAAGGGATTGCCGCCTTGGTTGAAAGCATAGCTCGTAAGTTGGTTCAAGATATTTGGAAAAAACAAAAAGTTGTCTCATACAAAACTAAATTTTCCACTGATAGTTCCTATGGTAGCTATATAACTAGTAAGCATAGAAAGTCTGATGATACTGATCAAATATACATATCACATATATGTGGATATTTAGTATGATACATGATGATATTGATCAAGTATATATATCATATCAGTATTATCATAAATCATATAATATATCATCAAATATTTATTTACTTGATCGGTATCATCAGGTTGATATATATATATATGGGCTTGCAGATGTCTCACTCTATGCGTTACACATTTCGTGGCGAAATCATGAGAACCACTGCAAGGGTATACAAGCAAAACAAATCTATTTGCATAATGGCTGAGAGCCGCAAGTCGCACACAAAATGACGAGAGCTGTTGATGGTGCGCGGTGGTTGTGGATGGTGCATGTTAAGCTAATATAACCATCAAAGTCCTGGGGTGCGCCACACTTTGGCTAATTGAGCGATAGATATATACGCATATATAGTATATCAAATGTAGTAATAGCTGTTATTAATTGATTTTCAGCATGTTAACGTGGCGTATGCGTAATGTGAAGTTGTTAACCCTCACCTTTTTGCTCCTGTCCAGCGCGGGCCGCTTGAGCCGGCTCCGTTTTTAGTTGTTGTGGCTGCTGCTGCTGTTGCTGCTGTTGTTGCTGCTGCTGTTGCTGTTGTTGTTGCAGCTGCTGCTGCTGTTGTTGTTGTTGCTGTAGCTGCGTTTCCTGTTGCAGCTGCGCCTGCACAGGCTGCATTGGGCGCGGATCGACCAATGTGGGCGCCGCAGCTTCCAGCACCGAGCTTTTCTCCATGACATCCGCCATATTGAAAGAGCCTGTGTATGTGTGGGCGTGTGTGTGGTGCACTCAGAACAGGACTTTTATGTGGGTTTTAACTTTTTTCCCGTTGTGTGTACTCGTTTTTCAGTTGAATTTTCTTATGCATACACTTTTTACTTTATTTTTCACAACTCACTTTGGTTACTTTTGGAATGCCTTAGTTGCCTTTTGCGCTGCGTAAATCGGTCTAAAAGAAACTTGGTTATATTTTAAAATAATAATGGTGACAAAATTTCGTTATTAGCTTTTTTTCACTTTTTATGCTTTTTCTTCCGCTCACTTGCACTTTGCCTTTTTCCAGCTGTATTTTTATATTTTTTATTGAATTTTATTTGCTAATGCAATTTTCAAGCGTTAAGCGCTGCGCTTTGTATCTTTTGGGTTTGTTATCTCGTTTTCAACTGATTTTCAGTTCGTCGAAATTCCTAATTAACGTACTCGGCAGACGCGCAAGCTGCGTTAAAGCTTTTTAGTACACGCGCAGGGGTAAAGCAGCAGAGCTTTTTCTAACAGCAGCTTTGCTGTTGCAGCGCCATCTGTTGCCGAGTTTGTGCTATTTTTGTTGATTCAATTAAAAGACTAGAGATTAAAATACTTTTTTTCAGATATAACATTATAATAGGGGTGGGAAGCTCCGATAAATTTAAAATAAATATAGTTGTCTCAAATTTTCACCGAATTATAACTTTCTAAGATACAGCACATTTTGACTGCACAAGTGAAGCTGTAAAATAGATCATAATTGCCATATTGAGATTACCAGTAATTTTACTGGATGCTATCAGGGCTCAGGGAATGCGTAATAGAACTGTAATATGAAATACGATACGCTGCAATTTCGAATTAAAAGCAGTTGCAATTACGATGACAATCGCAGGGAATCCTTAAGGCATGGCTGAAAAAAAAATAGTGGAGCTTCAGTTTAAAGTGCCTGAGGATGTATATAAAGACGATCTGATTATATCTTTAAAAGGAGCGAATCACTAATTTGTATATTAAATTTCAATTATCAAAGTTACAGAGCACTGTTGAAATCATTAAAATAATGGGTAACCACATCTTAATAACAATCGAACTTATCTGAAAATCAGCTATAGATGTGTCGCGCTTAGCTGGTCAAGTCAAATTCCATTCGGACCACTACTCTTCCAGTTGAGGATCCAAAAGGAACGGACAGGTATTAAACCACCCAAAAAAATGGGTTTTTGCAAATTTGAGAGGGAACGGTGTCAGCTATTCAAATTTTTTTGTCAAAATTCATCTGATGGATGTTTCGCACTTATTGGAAAATCCATCCCTCCTTGGTGGAAATAGGAGTCAACGATTTGGTGGGTGACGTGTCGTGTCGTGTCAAATTAATTTTCAAGGATCTATATGAAAAATGATTTGATACGTGTTTCACACTTTTCGCAGAATCTAAGCTTCTTTGGTTGAAATGCGTTTCAAAGATTTTTTGTTCGGAGTATTTAGTTTGGTGCGATTTGCTACAAACTTATTTTCATAGCTCTACATGAGATCTTTATCTGAGTTGTTCGCTTCACATCCGATCTGATTTAAAATCATTTCCGATGATCTTTGCTTTTCGTTGGCAAATGCGGGTCAGATTCTCACCGCAAAACTAACATGGGCGGAAACCGTTCATTCCAACACTTGTTTCTTTATTCAATACACTTAAAGCATATTTTTAAATAGTACTAGAGATCACGGTGGGTAGATTTCAATTTTCCACGGGCGTGTACTTAGTGGAAAGGTAATATCTAAAATTTTTAGCAAAAAAAATATATATATGTATATATGTATATATGCAATGCACTAGTATACCCGTATTTATCATGGGTTCATAAAAACTGGTTGAACTGGATAAGGGAGGAAACAAGGTGCATATGATACTTTTCCTTAAAAAGAAAATTCAAAATAATTATATTCGAAAAAACGCAATGTTGGATGCAGAACTATGTAACTAAACTAGAGGACAAGCAATATTATGAAATCTAAAGGGGAAGTATTTCCTATGTAATTAGCAGATCTGTTTTGCTAAATTATCTCAAGTAACTTGTTGAATTTAGTATACCAAGCCCGTTTGCAACAAATTCGTCGACGCATCTGCACCGTAAGATAAATAGATAAACTGTCTGCTGGACTCTTTATACACATCCTAATGCCATCTTTTATTCAGGATTAGTTATATCTACTTATTTGTTTGATGATATCCGATTGAAGTTGCAACATGAGCCAATCTTTTGCTACTTGGTTTATTTGCGTCTTTCAAAATGAATAATATTAATTTTGGGATTGCACTTAAAACTTAAAAATAAAAATTCATGAACAAAACAAAAATAATTGGCACGAAACTTATTTTTTTCAGTTTTTTTTTCTTTTGTTTTCGTTATTTTTATAATTTAAATTTTTTTTATTTTTTAAAAAATAATATTATCTTGAAGTTCAATTTTGCAGTTGTAGTAGCAGAAGTAAAATTTAATTAAAATAATATACGAGAGAGAGATAGAGAGAGTTAGCGATGAATATAACATCTATGGAGAATGGCTGTTTGCTATAAATTTGTTGTTTGGTGTTCTTGTTGTTGTTGTTTTGTTGTTGTTGTTGTTGTTGTTGTTATTTATTTATAGCGCATCTGGTCTGTCACACATTCTTGCGAGGAATGCTATAAGGTGGGCGGAAAGCAAAAGATTATTATTAAAATATATAATTTACATATATATAGAAGATATTATACACAGCGACTACATAGATAGGTAGACAAGACGACAACACTTACTGTTTAGTCGAAGACCACGGGATCGCTCATCAAGCGCTGGATGAACTCTATTGGATCGGATCAATCACGACACAGAGAGAGAGAGACAGAGAGCGAGGGCGAGAGCGATACGCCATGTGCGTGGTGGGCGATGCGTGGTGCAGGGTGCATGGGTCACACAGAACATTGATTGACAGATTGACGGATTGAAGACAGTTGCGTGTGTGTGGAGGAGTGTGCAAGGTGCAGTTTAATTGATTGATTGAGTGATTGGGTAACAAGTGTGTGCGTAGACAAGAGGTGCATGTAAAAAAAACAAGTACAATAACATTATGTAGCACATATACAAATTTTCAAAACACATCAGACTCAGAATTGCAAATGAATTAGCTGAGCGATACTTACGAGAATAGGGGATGAAGCCCTCATCATCCTCGGGATCCATGCAGTCGGCGAACAGATTCTCCACTTGTTCATCATCCAGGGACTCACCTGTTGGTAAACATATGATTAATTATAATATATATACGATAGATGTATTGGGTGTGCGATTTTCTTTTATTGAGCCACTCACCAAGTGCCAGCAGAGCGTGCTGCAATTCAGCGAGCAGCATGGTGCCGTTCTCCTCCTTGTCGTACAGCTTCAAGCACTCAATGAAATCCTCATAGCAGCCCTGCTCCTTCTCCTTCTTCACTTGCGAGTAGATGGGCAGGAATTCGTCCAATTTGATCTTCTTCTCGTTGCGCTTCTTGGTGCCACCCATTTTCTCGATCAGAGCCAGGGTGGGGTTCAAGTTTAGAGCGCGCAGAGCATCGCCTAGATCGAAGGCATCAATGCCCTCACCGGGTGAGCCCATAACTTCGAAAACGAATTCGACATCTGTGCAAAATCATTTTCAAAATCAAGTGGGTTGCAATTAACAAGCAAGTCGATAACTTTTCAATTTTATTTATTGATTGATTTATTGTTTATTGAAAAAATAGTTGAATACTGTTGATTGAGGTCAATTCAATAACCCTGAAATTTGGGTACGCACATTTTTGGTCATCACCAAATTCTTGACATGGCGGCGCATTGGTTACGTGTGCGCGAGTGTATGTGTGTGTGTGTGTATGTGTGTGTGTGTACGCGTGGGAGCGTTGCCAACACGAAGAGCATACATATACGTATACGTAATCCGACACCCGAACGCCTTCGTCTATACAACTATCACACACACAGGCAGGGACGCACATACACACACACGCACACACGCTCTTTGGCAGTGCGTTTCAACGAAAATAAATCCGTAGAAATAACTTCGCCAAAATTAGATCGTGCTCTCCTCTCAATAAACACCTATACATATACACAACAATTTTCCATTGTGCTCGTATTTTAGTTAGATAGATTTTAGTTTTTATCTTTTCATTTTCACAATCCTTACACTAGATAATGAGATGAATTTTATTTAAATAACTTATGTTATAATTTTTAAATTCCATGTATATCATGGAGTATATGTATCTACATATATTTGCAACGATTACGAAATATCTTTTACTTTATATGAGGCATATTCTTTTCGTATATATGCTGTATACCCACGCATAACATGGGTCTCTATTTATATGTAGATTTTCTTTTCTCTTTATATATATATGTAAAACACACGCGCACATTATGTAATCACTTTTTTACAATACAATCACAATGCTGTACTTGATTTTGATATAGAAGTGTTTTAATGGTGTTGGGTTATTTTGATTTCAGCTTTTGTAGTCCTCAGCGGCAACATTATTCAACTATGTTTCCGGTGGTATTTTGGTGTGTATTTTGTTTGATTTAATTTGAGGTTATAGTTATAATCCTTTTTTTTCTTTCTGCGTTGTTTTTCAACTTACTTTCAACTTCACGCTTCGGAACATCAGCCTGTTGTTTGAATAGTAGAAAAAAGAGTAATATTTTTGATTTTTGTAATTTAATAGTTGTTCACATTTTATATATTTTATACATTTAGTGGGCTTGGGAAATTCAAAGTCTTTGCCAGCCCAATGTGCGGCGGCAGCACTCACCATTTTGTCTATTGAATGCGAAAAGCAACTGTATCGCGGATGAGCTCGGTCTCGACTGAACGCTACTCGTCAGTGGCAGTACGGCAAGGTAATTCTGAGGTGATACCCTGCGACGAGGCTGACCAACTCGCACACAGATAAAGATAGCAGCAATACACACACACACACACACACGTATGGATAAACATAGATGAAATGCTCAGACATTTTTCCTACGCAAGGCTGTGGCAGAACACACACAGATACTTACACACATCTATATAGATCTTAAGATATATAGAAACATATGCTGGCAAAGAATTTACTTTCATCTGGGTAAAATTTTCAAATGCCTTCGCGTACTCTCCTGATCTCGCTCTTCCTCTTTTTCTCACTCTCTCCCTCTCTCTCTCTCTCTATTTCTTGGACCCTCTAGTTGGATCTATTTTTAAGATATATATCTAGTGTTTTTTTTTTGTGATTTTTCCTATATGTGCCTGCAAAATAATAATCAGTTGTGGCATGCTCAGCCGCATAGTGTTGAATATCATTTGATGTTACACATGAATTTGCAGATAATATTTTCTGTGGGGGTTTATTGTTTTTATGCCATGGGGGGCAACCACTACGCATCGATTCTATATACAACACATAAAACTATATGTATATATATTTTGTATCTTTAACCATGCACATATGTATATATAGATATTTAGTATCTGGCGACCCTGATCATATATTTGGCAACGCATTTTATAGAATTTTTTCTTGAGAACGATTCGCATGTTATCATTCAAAATGTTTTGGCTGCCGGCTGATTTTATGCCTAAAAACACCTGAATAGCTTTAAAAATACGTAATTTGTTTAAAATCTTTTTTTTTTAATCTAAAGCTATTCCTGTGTAGCTCTCTCACTCGCACATTCTCAAAATCGTTGACTCTCATCTACATAGAAGGCGTATTACTAGGCATCCAATTGTATTTGTGTCTACAACAATTTTGAATGTGTGCTATTTATAAAAACTATGACACAGATACACCAAACGTATTCAGAGCATTCATCTACAACGCATATTCCGACTGTTCCTATATACACATGCACATAAAAATGTATACATATTTATATGTATAAACATATATATAGCTTTTACAAACGGGGCACTTAAAAGGCATAAAATGTAGTTGGGCAATTAACACAAATTCGATTTAGCTTTGCCCACGGCAGCCGGCAAAACTGCTAACTGCAGTCCTTGTCCTTGACATCAGCCTTTGTTGGGCACGTCGTTCTGAAGAGTGTGTCCTGCTTTGACCCAGTTGCGGCTCAGCTGTTCAAGCCGAATCGCTCAACTCATCTTCCGCCAAACCTGCGCAGCCTCACACATCGCAACAACCTGTTGCTGAGCTGGGGGGCGGGAAAGTTAACAGATGACTACAGGCACAGCAATTGGTGCATGTCAATTGGGCCGGCTTGCATGAAGCAGCTGTTAGCAAACTCCCAACGCAGGAGCTGACATAATGGGCGAACTCTGCGCAGTGGCAATTGCGCAACTCATTGATAAAGATTCGACTGGGAAAAATGCTTAAAAGCATTCCTGCCTCGAGTTATAAAAAATAAAAAATGTTAAGGCACACCTAATATATTTTAATACCCTGTACCCATTGAAAATACTTTGGAAAAAGGCATTTTGTTATGGTTGTGGATAAGTTCGGAAGAATATAAATATTCTTGGACAGTCCCGCAGTGTTTTAACTATTAGTATTATCATTTTTAATATTATATTACAATTATTTTCATTATTAAATGAACAAATGCCGGATATAGTAAGAAACTAACATCCTAACTGCTTTAAATACCATCGACATCTAGAGACATTGGCTCAGACAATGCTCTATAATAACAGTAGACTGGAATTCGCATCAGAATCTTGGAGAGTACCATATGATCTAATGTCTTATTAATTAAGTGTTACTTTGAATTTTGTTACGCAAAACTATCTGTTTTTTCTTATACCTAAAATATACCCAACCGCAAAATAGCTTGAGTTTCTGTTCGGCATGTAGGACCTCCACTTGGCAAGGGTATTTTCACCGCCGAGAAAATGGAATATAATTATTAGAAATTTATCCTTGCTTTTAGGTATTTAAGCGTATTTGATATAATAGAGAAATGTGTCTATTTGCCGTCTTAATACTTATACTTAATTACAGCTACTCTTGCTTTCTATATAAAATGTGTCCCTATGAGACTATTATTTAATTTGGATCTGATTTGCACAGAAAAATAATTTATTTTATTAAATTATTTGTAGATATATGTAAGCTCAAAATAAAGACTATAGAAAACCGACTGAAAGATGAAGGAGTGGGAAACGTTTGTGAATATGGTATTGTCTACAAGTACTGGCTTCTAAAATGTTTATAGTCTGCTTCGCTCAACCTAGATGTTATTCCCATTCAATAAGAATAATTATATTTACTAAGCTTCGCTACAATCTACTTGATGGGTATCTATGTGCGATAGATTTTATGGCAAACACTTAAAACTGCCTTTTGTTATTTTAGCAAACTTCACCCTTAGAAAGCAGCTAACAGCCAAACACACACACAACAGCTTTAAAGATAAGCTCACAGACCCCCATTGAATGCAGCACACGCGGCGTATACGCAATTTTCAACCCTCGCACGTAGGCAGCGGCTGCTTGTTATCATTGATAAGTGCGCCAAACGTACAGGGTGAGCTAGAAAAAGCAGAGGATGTTGCTGTGGTGCAGCTAGAGAGAAAGCACCCCTTATATATCTGTATATGTAGACCAGCCCTTTTTGGGGGTGGCTGTGCGTATGCTTAATATGAGTTTGTGTGTTTGTGTTTTGGTTGTGTATAAGCACCGCAGGCGTGCGCTGCTGCTGCTCCTGTCGCTGGCAACGACGAACAACGAGAAGGATAACGACGATGTGAACAGCTCGTCCGTTAACGAGGCGACGCTTTGTCCCAGTTGCATCCGAACGCTTCAGCCGTAAACGTTATCGAAACTGGCAACGCGCAAATTAAGGTATAAAAAAAAACACAAAGAAAACAAGAAAAGTTGAAGCTGAAAATGTATAAATGACACTCATTAAAATCAAACAAAATACAAGGCGCAACAATTCAGCAAGCAATTATTTTCAGTCCAAGTCGCGTCCGACTGGTGCAGAGCTCTTGCCAAGCCCTTTGCTTAAACAATCCGTCCACTGGGTGCGGTCGCAATTCGAACAAATTGCTGGACATAAACGTATAAATTCAACGTTTGATTTGAGTGCGTGTTAAATGTTTGACAATTGTCAATTTAGCAGCAAAGTGAAAGATACAAAATTGACAAAACTGTTATATAAGTGAAAAGCTGTGAAAATTTTTTCGTATGCTGCCCCAAAAAATTAGCATGTATACCGAAAAAATGTCCAATTCTGTATCTATAACTCAGCCGACGCGAAGCTTCGGAGTCTGCGTTCTGCGCAGCCTTCAAGAAGCAGCTGGGTGCACCCCCTCCCCACCCCTGCTCATAGCACAGCTGCGAGATGTGAGTGGCAGGGGCAGTTGAGATTTTGTTTTGGTACTGACCTAGACACCCCCAACCGCCAAGCAGGGTAGGAAGGGGGCCTCTTGTTGAGCCTGCGCACGCAAATACTTGTTGCTGCGGCAAACATGCTAATGCCGTGCCATGCCACCGTTTTTTATGAATGACCCGACACTTTCAACAGTTGCATGCCGGCCACTGAATCGTCTGTGTCCTTGCTTTCCAGCTGGCCACCATGGTGACCAATGCGACAACCAACAATAACAATCTACAGGCGAACAACAACAGCTCAACGCCAAACAATAACAACGATGACTTTGACATTGACCAGGACGATGGCCTCCAGGATCTGGGCTTGCCCGTATCCGTGCAGACATTCCTCTGGCGCCAAATAGCGCCCTTTATTAGGCCGCGACTGGGCAAACTGCATGAGGCCAGCTGCATGGTAAGTGTGTCAGCCAAAAAAAAAAAAAGAAAATTGCCCAAAAAAAATCAAATCTTGGACATTGGCTAACATAAATCTTAACGGAAGTGCCAAATAAACCTGCATTGGAGCTACCAGCTCCAACCAAATATATATATATAAATTAACTTATTTACAATCTAACAAGAGAAATTACCTTTGGATAGCCGAAGATGGAATACCCTTGCAGTTGAATAAAGATTTAAAGCCACAAAATTTTTAGAGCGATTCTTCCTATAGGAATTATATGATATAGTATTCCGATATTGATAAGACGTTGTTTAAGTTTTAGTTTCCGAGTTTGGTTCAAAAATATTTTACTCATTTCGCCATACAACACAAGTAAGAATATTGCAACCGACTGCGTTATACTCGCTCGAAGTCCAATTACAGCCTACAACCGGTTAACTGACTATTTAATTGGGAGAGATAGAAAACCGTAGAAGATATAAGATCCATAAATATCGATTTTGAGAGCTAGATTTCTTAGCAGGATTCGTAAATTATATCAGCTAGATGCACCAAACTTGTTATGTAAGTTCTCGAATATTGTACACAGAATATTAATATTTCGCTTGTTGGATACCTTCAATTCCCCCAAAATGAAAAAAAAAACCCTGTCATTTTTAAAGCCTTGCTATTTGGCGTATACAGACATTTGTACACCATATTAAAGCCCTAACAATTTCATAATGGTCAGATAAACACCGAGCTAAGTCAAGGATGTATTTCCATTGCAAAGTATGAAAAGAATAAGCACAGCCACCGCCATATTGAAGCCAACTGCAAGGGTATATAAATGACAAAGACAGAGTAATTATAATAAAACTAAAATTGTGCTGTAAATTCGCTATGCGTGTTTGTTTGTAAGAAGACTGGAGTGTGTACTGTACCATTGGCACAACCGAATATGAAATTATTATATAATATATGACATAAATATATATGTATATGTAATCTCGGTTTGTATTATAATTTATGTTTTACTGCTCTATAAGTTCGATAATAAAATCGATCTATGAATTTGATGTTTGATGGTTATTTTTACTCATTTTGCATTCGCATTTCAATTTCTTTTCTACAATTTACTAACACGCCCACCTAACACAAATAAAACATACTTATCATGAAAACAATATTATGCTTTAACTTACAATAACAACAACATCATACTACTCCTACTACAACTACAACAAATAAACTGTACAAATTAACATTGTAAAATCTCTCGCAATTTGTCTAAATCTGAATGTAGTTTTGTCAACACGCACCGGGACACCATGTAAGTTATAAATGTTATAAATGTACATAAATACTAACATATCTTACTATAACTAGGTATATTACGATAATTTTTCTATGTACCTTAAAATCTATAATATGTTGATTTAAATGCGCTTTTGGTTGTTGTGCATGCCTTTAGCTCAATTTTAATGGTTTCTCTTGCAGATTGTTTGTGAATATTTAAATCTTATTTTATAGTTGCTTGGTTTGAGTTGAACTTAAGCACTCTCTATTAATTCAAAATAACTAATCTGTACACATATGTTTATATATTATCTCTTTGATTTACCTACACATATCGCAGGAATCCAAAGAAGCGTGCAAGGTAAGTAAACCTTTTGTTATTCGGTATCGTCCACTTTACTCATTCTTCTTTTATCACTATCAACAGTCCTTTGAGAAGGTGCTGGTGCAGAATATTCAGTTCGGCCTCTCCCCGCCGTTAACTAAGGCCCTGGGCGCCATTCCACGTTGGCGTCTTCTGCAGGGCGCCCTGCCGCATGTCATGCACGCCTGCGCAGCTTTACTTTACTGTAAGTTTTTGGTATCGATTTTAAACTGTACAACTTGCATCTTTCTATACAAAAGAATTTGTCCTGACTGGCTGATTGGTGATCAAGGTACTGCCCAGTCCGTAGGCGCTAGAAAGCTACAATTTGAACAAAACCTTTGAGAAAGGGTTGGAAAATTTCGGTCTCTAAGTAAGACAAAAAAGTTGGTCAATGTATACCTGAGCTTTGCAAGCGTGTCTTCATGAGTTTGCTGAGCGTCGAACTAACAAACGAGAGGTTAAGCAGAAAATCTTCATTTTTTGTTCTTTTTTTTATTTATTTTTTATTCACAAAAAAGAAAGCAATAATAGTTTTAGCATATAACTATTCATCCTGACTGACTTAAATTTTCAGAGTACTGTCCTTTTGGCACACATAACAAAGGATTTGTGGCAAGTTTTAAGAATATATTTTAAAAAATCGAAACAAGTAGTAAAATTGTGAAACTCATAGAAACTGCAGACATATCTCTAGGAATCGACTGTTAAAAATGATCTGGAATTTACAAATATAATTTTTTTGTAAGTCGAAATGTCGTCTTCAAAGCAATTACTTACTCATATGAAATATGTTTTTTTGTATTGTATTATTAACCCATATTAGGGCGAATAATCATTCTTATTGCTTTATTCGAATAATAATTTTGCCAATGCATGCCGTCTGATCTATCAACAGCATTTTTATAATATCGCCCATTAGGATTGCTTGAAATTATAGGATCGACCACATTGAAACATATATAATATTCAAATAAATTATTTACTTGCCATCCTTGATATTTCTCCGTATACCAATAGCCTCCATGAAATACATACGACTTGTTCTGTTTTCCCGGTCGTAAGTTGAAAATTCAAAATTCAAATGTTTACTCAACATGTTTGTAGTGCCTTTCACTTCACCCAGACTTTTCAGTTTGTATTTTTCGACTTCGCTACCAATATAAAAATTATTATACCGAGCCCAGTGGATACTGCCATTAAATGCCTCTATGAAAGCATACAACTCGTAGCGCTGATAATTGGTCAAGTGATAAATATTTTCTAGACCTAGGAAAAACTCTTTATCCATATTGCCGAAACCGTTACGGTAATCAGCCCAAATTCTTTAAAAATTCTCTGAACCATCAATTCTTCGTTGAATGAGAGTCCAGCCAGGTCCTGCAGTTTGACCATCGCACATTACGCGAAAAGGACTTATACCGGGAAGGTGAAGTGTTTTAATGCCTGTATAATAGCCGAACGGAATACAGCTGGTGGGTTTCGGTATTTCTGAACTAACACGTACCTTAAATGTGATTGGAGCAGAGCATTAAACTGTAGCTGTAACTAAAAATAAATTTGATATGGGTTTAACTCCCGGAAACATAAATGGCTCAATTTGTTATACCCTGGACCAATTGAAAATGGGTATCCTGGATTTTTAAAATGTATGTAACAGGCAGAAGGAAGCATCGAAAATTCCATAAATCAGTTTCAGTCCCTCTTGGTCAGCATCATCGTCTGTTTGTCTATCCGTAAGTATAAACGAGTCGATCTCAGAACCTTGAGACTTGTAACTTTAAGCATAGGTTCTCCTGGTGCCCGCAAGTTGATTTCGAAACATCTCCTAGTCGGCGACTCCCGGCTAAAGCACCCTTGACTTAACTCTCGAGTTTTGGATTTCAAATTAAAGCCTGAAACAGATTTGTCATAAATTACATAAATATGAAGAGAAATTACCTGGCGTTGTCCGGTTCAAATAAAAAGTTGTAACAAGCAGCTGGCACCGACATTGTTTGTGTAATTCGCTTTCAAATACCCTAGACTTCGAGATTGGTGGGCGGACACTCAGTCCACTACACCGTCAAGCGATTCGCCGAAAATATCTTTTATACATATAACACTAGCAAATATTACACGGCCTAACCAAGTGTTCTTCAACGTCTTAGCTCTTACAGCATTGTCTCTGCTGTACTGTATTCCACAAAATGTATTGTTTCAGGCCGCGTGAAGGACATGCAGGCCATTGGGCCGGTCGAAACCAAGTTGCTGTACACTATGCAATGGATATTACTCTATGCCGCCGAGGAATGCGCCGATGACGAAGGAGGCGATGATCTAGGTTTGGCTGAAGCTGCTGAGCCCAAGCCTAAGGCTATGGATCAGTATTTGTTCTCGGTGCCAACTATCACGGTTAGTTCTAATTGCTGGAGATGCTAAATACTGCTTATTAATCATTGTTGGTCACAGCTTTTTGTTTATCTGTTTGCACCCATCATACATCATCTCAAAGAATCGGACTTTCAAAATTTTCGCCTGGAGAATGGCATTAAACTGTGGCAGGGCATGTGGGACAATCGAGCACCGGGTGCTCCATGTTTCACCGCGCCCGTGAAGCCCAAGGCCCGCAACTTGCTGTGTGCACCCACACCAAAGGGTTCGACGGATGTGTTTCAGGGTCGCAAGCATTCGCTCGGACCCGACGCAATGTCGCCCAAGGCGGACTCGCCACAGAGCGGCCTTACTGACTACGGCCCGCAGGATGAGGAGGTGAGCTAGTCGCAGGTTATCAATTTGATTGCCAACCATATTAATGTTGCCTTTGGTTAGGGCTCCTGGGTGTCTTCACCCAAGGAGTTTTTCCCAGAGACCATACCCGAAGAGGCTTCCAGCGTCGAGGACGAGCGTGTTGTCATCTTTAGGCTGCCCTCCGCACCGCAGCTCATGGATAACTCTTTCTTCACGGTAAGCAATTTAGTCTCGTTATTGACCATAGCTACCACAACTGGAGTCCATTTCAGGCTGATGCCAGTTTGCTTCAACAGCAGCAGCAACAGCAGCAATCGCAAAGCCGTCGGGGCAGTCACCAATCAATGAACTCACGTGACAAAGAGAAGGCACCCTCCACCAAGTTTGAGTTTGATCAGCAGGAATTGACGCGTGGCGCTTCCATGAAGGAGAAACGCAGCGCCTCCATTGAAAAAGAATCGGAAACGGATAAATCTGAGAGTGCCAAGGCGGATGTCTCGGCTGCCACCTTTCTGGATGTGGCCGTACTCAGATGCCTCTTCATCTCGCACTGGCAGGAGGAAGGCATCTTCTGGAGCTTACAGTACCTTTACAACAGGTGCGTCGGGTGTTCTTTTAATATATCAGTTGGTGCAGTTGCTTGCTTTGCAGACTTAGCGAAATTGGCGAGGATGCAGCCATCACATTGAATCAGCCACGAAAACGCTCCAACTCGCTGCCCATACCACAAATCGAGATCTCACTGTACCAGGGTCCGGGCAGCAACAGTCGGGATAGTCCTGGCAGCTCTGTGGTCAAGGATTACATTGAAGTACCCGAGCCAGCAGCAACCGTGCAACCCGATGTAGTTGGTGAGCTGTAGAAGCATTTCGGATCCATCATCCTCTAAAACTAACCTATAATTAGGGGCTTTTCTTTCAGAGGAGTCTCCGACCATGCCTTGCACTTCGAAACGTCGGGGCAGCGAGAAAAAGAAGCGCGTAAAAATGGCCGATCTACGGGCCTTTGTGGAAACGAAAATGTTCTCGAAATCGGAAAAGAACTTGGAAAAAGTAGGGCTCGATACAAACTCTGCCAATGGCAAGAATCCACTGCAACATGCAGTAAGCCGATAGCTATCACTAAATTTATAGCAATACCCTTTTTTATACCCTTGCAGAGGGTATTATAATTTTGTCGTGAAATGTGTAACGCATAGAACGAGACATCTCCGACCCCATAAAGTATATACATATATTCTTGATCAGTATCAACAGCCGAGTTGATATAGCCATGTCCGTCTGTCTGTTTCTATGCGAACTAGTCTCTCAGTTTTAAAGCTATCTTAATGAAACTTTGCAGAATTCCCTCTTTCTGTTGCACGCAGCTCATATGTCAAAACCAGCTGGATCGGACCACTATATCATATAGCTGCCATAGGAACGATCGGTCGAAAAGTAGGTTCTTGTATGAAAAACATTTTTGTTTATAAAGTTATCTTGACTTAACTTGGTATTTATTAGTTTTACTCCGCTCCCCATATATATGCAAAATCCTATTAAGATCGGACAACTATATCATATAGCTGCCATAGGAACGATCGGTCGAAAATTCAGTTTTTGTATGGAAAATTTTTATGTTGTTCAAGATATCTTGACCAAACTCGGTACTTATTAGTTTTACTAAGCTCCCCATATATATGCAAAATTCTATTAAGATCGGGCAACTATATCATATAGCTGCCATAGGAACGATCGGTCGAAAATTCAGTTTTTGTATGGAAAATTTTTATGTTTTTCAAGATATCTTGACCAAACTCGGTATTTATTAGTTTTACTACGCTCCTCATATATATGCAAAATCCTATTAGGATCGGACAACTATATCATATAGCTGCCATTGGAAAGATCGGTCGAAAATTAAGTTTTTGTATGGAAAATTTTTATGTGTTTCAAGATATCTTGACCAAACTCGGTATTTATTAGTTTTACTACGCTCCCCATATATATGCAAAATCCTATTAAGATCGGACAACTATATCATATAGCTGCCATAGGAAATATCAGTCGAAAATTATGCTGTTGTATGGAATTTTTTTTGTTTTTCAAGATATCTTGACCAAACTCGGCATTTATTAGTTTTACTATGCTCCCTCCATTTATGCAAAAACATTATTCTCATCGGGCTACTATATCATATAGCTGCCATAGGAACGATCGGTCGAAAATTAAGTTGTTGTATGGAAACCTGTTTTGTTTTTCAAGATATCTTAACCATACTCGGCATTAACTATTTTCCCTGTGCTTCTTAGATACGGGCAAAGCACTATGAGCATTTTGAAAATGTTGGGTCTGCAAGGGTATTAAATCTTCGGTGTGCCGAAGATAGAACTTCTTTCTCGTTGGCAGTTGACAATAGCGCACGCTCTTTGATTATGCGTTTGAAGGCCTAGCACCCCGCTTAGATATCGAATGCTTAATTTATCCAATCGTTATCGAAACCTGTTCGTTCACCTGTCATATGTTGTTACTAAAGTTTATTGTTAGCTAACATGGTGATAAAATCAACCAATCCCTAATTGACTTCATTTCGTTTGCCTAGGAATATCATCGTAGCCTCGACACGGGCGAGAAGAAACTGTCACGATCTGCCTCAATGATCACTCGAGAGCCAGCCAGTAATCTCATCAAGGGAAAGTCTATGCCCAGCTTAAGGTAACTACAGTTGCCAAACCTATTACCCGACTCTCCAAACAACTCTCAATTGGGACTCTGACATCAAAAATGACAACAGACACACAAAATACAACTTGCCCAAATCAATACAACAGACTATTCCTAACTCTATTGTATATTATATCACTTACTGTCTTTTATGAACTGAATAACCAGCTGTCTGCTTGATAGCGGGTGAGTTTTGGTCTAGAGCTGAGTTCTATATCTTTAAACCTATTCATTCATATTGTTTACTTTCAACTGCGTCTATGCTTTACTATAATATATAAACCAACTATGTCAACTACTATGTCAACTACTATGTCAACTACATTTTCACCGTACAGTTTGCCTGAACACCTTTACCCACCCCAACAATACTTTTCCTTGCCAGCTATATCCACCTAGTGCTTGCAAAACCAAGGTACCCTTCTCAATGCTCATTGTAACTTTAATGCTCCCCTTAATTGTAACGCCTAGCTCTATTTCTTTGCTCATTACAAATATTTACAATGAAGCTGAAGTGCATTGTAACATTTGAATGTTAGAATTTTGGGCGACGGCATTTTAAAGTGAATTTTGAATTTACAATGAAGCTGAGGAAACTTGCCTTTTGAACCCCTATTCCGAACTCCTTGTTCCAACAGCTTTTGTTTTAAAGTTTCTTGCACGCCGTTTCGACTAATGCAATGCACATACGGTTTTCGCATGTATTTTACAATATGCCAGATTTTACAGATACGTAGAGCCGCCGAAGTCCTCAAGGCCACCACAGGCCACGTGTCCGCGATCCACAGCTTTCTATCCACGCAATCCCATCATCACAGTTACAGAACATACGCCCACTCCATCGCCGGATTATATGAAGCGACAGGTAAGTCGGATAGGATACTCTAAGCAGAGAATTACAGTCTACAGTCAAGGGTTCCTTCGTCTGTCAGGGCTCCATTGATTCACAGTTGGATGCACTGAGCAATGGTGGTAGCATTGCTGGCGCTGGCGGTAATAGCAGCGCTGGCGGTGGCAGCAGTACCGCTCGCTTTCGCGGGCCAATGCTGCGTTCGCACACGGACTCCCACATTGACTATACGGGCGTGGATGAGTCGGAAGCGCCAGGCTCCTCCTTCTATATAACTCGCGACGGCGGCATCGACTATGAGATCGTTCTGCTGGCTGTCAGCAGCGTGTTCAAGCGGGAGCCGTCCCAGGTCTGCTCGCTGCGCGTGCTGGAGGCGGGCCTAAATATCTGCGAACTTCTCATCGAGATGGGCGTCCTAAAGCTGGGCGAACATGCGCATGAGATATCGATGGGCATAACACGACGTGCACTCCAGGTGCTGGGCTGTCCCCATGGCTGCAATGATGGTGAGTGCCTTTCACATAACTGAGGTAGAAAATTAGAGTTGGGATTAAATTAAAATTTCATTAATATTAAAAAGATAAACAAGTTAGAGATTCTAGTCGGGAGCTCCCGACTAGGGGATACCCTGATCCCTCTTATTCCAAAGCCAAATGTAGCTCGCACTACGCGTTCGTTTGCTTTAGTAGTAATAAAGATAAATTAATAAAAAAAATGTTCCCTTGGCAGGGTTCGAACTCGCAACTAACCGCACTACTTACCGCCGCCTCTACTAAACAGCCAATCCAATAATCTTTTTTTTTTTTTATTTTTATTTTGCGCTGGAATCGATCAGTGCCTTCTGATCTCTACCAAGCGGAGTTAAGGGTATAGTGTTTAGTTATTATTTAATAACTTAAATGATAAGTACAGACTTAAAAATATATAACAATAATGGGAAAGGGATGTTTAAGTGATGTGCCTCGTTGGTAGGTCTTCGGGGTGTAGCCTTCGGAGGCGCCTCTCACTGATGGGCTCAGCCAGGGCCCTTGCGGCCGCGTTCGGATGCTGCACCAATTTGTCGGAGTATCGGCTGCTGAAGAAGTTGAGCTGATCTCCGACCTTTGTTAGGCGGAGATCGCGTTCGATGGCGTCTGTTGTTACGTACCATGGCAGGCCAGCAACCTTGCGTGCTGCCTTGGCTTGGACCACTCTTATGCGACGGAGCTGGTGTGCTGATGCCGTGCCCCAAACTTGGATCGCATATGTCCAGATAGGCGTTACCATCGTTTTGATAAGCAGTGTCTTCGTGGATATGTGCAGCTTGCTTTGAGGCTTTAGTAGCCAATCGAGCTTTTGAAGTCTTCTCAGGCATTTTGCTCTCGTTGCTGCGATGTGAGGCCCCCATATGAGCCTTCGATCCAGGTGGACACCCAAGTAGCAGAAAGAGTTGGTCTGCTCAATGGTTCCTCCATCGAACCGTAGCCCCTGGCAGCTGTCTGGGCGCAGCGTAGGGCCAATAATCGAATTTTAGTGAGCAAAAACGAATTAAAATAGCAGCGCAGAAAACAATACAATCGCAATTGCAATGCTGTTGATAGAATTCAAAGAAGACGAGCGTAAATGTGTGTGTGTACATGTATACAGATATTCTTGGAATTTGCACTTGTTGCCGCTGATAGGAGAAAAGTCAAAACACGTTTTCTTTAATTATTTTTGTGTTTCTTAACCGATCTTGATTGGTTGGGCTCGGAGATTCTTCCTTCTGCATGTTACATACATTTGCACAAATACATTATACCCTTTTTACCCATTTTCAATGAGTTCAGGGTATAAAAAGATAAAAAGAGCTTTGACTTAGATACTTCTAGTGCACGAAAATATCGTGCTCGATTCAAAATATAGACTCTCCAAATTTTATTTAACTTTTGGAATACCCGACACCATTCCGACCAAAATTTAAGAAAAGAAAAGGGATTTTTGTCAGACTTTTAGTCTAGTCTTCATCTTTGGTATTTACACAGATTTGGGTGCCATATTTATTTAAGCAATTTAAAAAGGAAGCCGCAGGAAATTGCTTAGTCGGGTACTCCAGATAGTGCACTCTTATTAGTTTTATTTATATTCCATCTTAGGGCGAATAAGCATTTTCACTGCTTTGACAGAATTAAATGTTTCCCAATTAATGCTTTGCTGATCATCGACTTTGTACGGCAAATATCTCCCATTAAGGTTACTATAAATATAACAATTGTTATTTCAAATTTTTTAAATAATTAAAGTTATTTGATAACTTACCTTCCAAGGTTTAAGCCGTCAAATAACCAATAGCCACCGTGATACTTTTCGGAATATTTATTTGGACTATTTTCCCGGTCATAGGTCGAAAACTCAATGTTCAGATGACTAGTCAATCTATCTACAATACCAGTGAAATTACCAACACTGCTCAGCTTGTAATTTTCTGCTTCGCTACCAATAACAAAATTATCATACCGAGCCCAAGTGATTTCATTATCGAAGGTCTCTATGTAGATATACAATTCGCAACGCTGATAATTGGTCAGGCGATATATATATTCTAGACCTAGGAAAAACTCTTTATCCAGATTGCCGAAACCGTTACGGTAATCACCCCAATTCCTATAAAAATCCTCTGAACCATCGTATCTTCGTTGAATGAGAGTCCAACCAGGTCCTATTGAGTGACCATCGCACAAAACTCGAAAGGGACTTGCTCCAGGCAAGTAAAGTACCCTGATTCCTGTAAAGAAGCCAAACGGAACACAGCTGGTTGCTTCCGGCCTTTCAATTCTTGGATTTGACTTAGTTTTTTCCAGTAGAGCCTGACACATCTGCAGCTGGTCTTCAATCATTATTGATTGCATTTGTTGATTATTATTGTAAACCATTACTTGAAGGCTATTGGCGGTGGTCTGTAATTCTATTATTTCTTGCTTAAGATCCACTTCAGATGCACTGCAGCTTGTGCTTGTGCAGTTTTTATTCAGTAGCAACTCGTTCGCTTCCCTTAAAGATTTAATCAGTTCTTCCTTGAATATATCCTCAACCAATTTTAATTGAAGCTCAGCTATTTTTTCCTTCAGTTGATTTGAATACTATTCAAATAATTTAGTTATATGTTCTTACATTTTAATAAAAGTATTAATTACCTGGTCTTGTGCTTGTATGGTCCCCAGCAACAATACCAATATGACAAATGAGATTCTAAAAACCATTTTATACACTTCACTTTTTGCTCAATGACTCTTGCTGTGCAGCTCAGACAGCTATTCTCGTTCAGAGCTAAAAGTCAACTAACACTCGGCATCTACTTTTCGATAATGTTTAAAGTGGTCCTAATGCAATTAGAACGCAGCATTAAACTGTAACTGAAACCGGTCGATCTTTTTTTTAATGTTAAATCAGTTCAATTAAGATGCCGGTTTGGCGGAAATTTAACTTTTCCAGAATTCTGACTGCACATATTTTCGGTTGAGTCAAAAGGCTTTGAGAGGACTCCAGTTTACTGTAGTCCTCATGGTAATAATCATGGACAACTCTTGTAGGTCGTCAATAAATTATTGTCATTTCACCGGAAAGGCAATGAGAGCTGGTGAAGACCAATCAATATTAGAAAGATTGAAGTCGCCAAGAGCAACCAAGAGGTCATTATCAGATAGTAAGGAGGAAATGGATGGATTTCCACCTGCAAGCTCAGTCTCCAAGAGGGGATTTACGTCAATTAATAACTCGACTCCACGTTTTTCTTCTTCTAATATTTATATTTATGCCTATGAGCTATCTCATAGTCAGGCACTCTTAATTGTTGTAAGTGTTTACTTGACACGAGATTTCAATTGTTAAAACAATTTGTTTGAATTTGTACTTCGCATTCCATTGACATTTTCTTACTACAACCCAGATCACATACATGGGGCTCTGTGTAAGAATCTTTGATGACGAATTTTGACCAATTTAAATACATTGAAAACCGTTTATTTTATTTGCTGTGTATTGCCTGATTTTTTTCTATATATTATTCTCAAGAGACTCTCCTGACTAACCTATTTACAGGTGTTCGCGGTCCGCCCGCTGATTTTCTGCGCAATCAGTGCCAGAAGATTATCGCGCGTATGTTGCGCCAGGCCGGGCAGCGCACCAAGCGCTATCTCCAGGAGATGGTCAGGACGTCGCCGCTGCCGGAGCTCATCGATTATTTCCATGCATTTCTGGCCTTTTGCGTGGATCCCAGTTCGCTGCTGTCGCCGTTGAGTAAGTGCCGCAATAAAACCTGTGCCTAGTCTTAAATAAGCTTTGTCTTGGGTGTTAAAAAATGCAACATTTGCAACATTTCCGATGGTGCACCAAATCCTAATTGCAAGTTTTAATTTTAAGTTTTCAACCCGAGAAAATTCGTATCCATATTGGTTTAAATTTTCGTTTCTTTGTGTGTGTGTTCGTGTGCATTTATCTTGCATGTATCGATTTTTGCTAATGCTCTTGAGTTGTACCCCTCTTGCCACTGACCCTCCACAACTAAATACCAATACCAAATACTCGTATGTTGTATATATATATATATATATGTGTATGATGCAATAGCTCATAAACGTCAGAGTGGATATAAAAGTGTTAACACCGATCTTGGCGGTGTACCAGGTCAGGGCGGCTATTCCACAAATTTTAGCGGCGGCATGAGCGGCGGCGCCGAGGGTCAAGTGGTTGGCGCCATATTCAAGCAGCTTGTCAGTCGGTTTGTCGATGCCAGCAAGGATCTTAAATTGCCGGAGAACGTAGCACTCTATGGCGACATACGCCAGCTGGTCACCTATGTAAAGGGCGCACATGGTGGTCCATTTCGCTTGGTGGCACTCAGCGGCATATTGGCGGTGACGCCGCGTCCGCACAAGAAGGGACCCACATCACAAACCACAAGGGTAATTAGGTAAGAAGTACATAGCCACCCCCTAGTCCTCACCACCTCTTACACAGCGTTTAATTATAGGCACATACCCCAGGCGAATGCTACGCAGGTGGTGCCGAATGACGACAATCGTTCGCAGCGCCGGCTGCTGCTCAAGAAACGCAGCACATCATCTGCCTGCGCCGTGGTGAGTTCTGTTTCTAGTCTTCTAACAATGCACTGATCCGCTCGGTATTTGCTTACAGAGTTTGCTAGAGACGGAGCCGTGCGATGACCACTACAAGACCAGCCAATCACCACTGAGCAACTTTAGGCGTCGCACAACTGGCGTCCGACCCACCCTGACGCCAAGGCACAGTGAGCGTGCGCTGCTCTCCGATTCCACGTCCAGCTCAGAACGCAATTCGCTGGGACGGCTCAGCGGCTTGGTGCGCTGGTTTCGAGGCACGCCCAAAGAGGCGTCATCGATTGATCTGGAGATAGGCTCGCTAAATCCCGAGATATCCTCCACATTCATGCGGCACGCCTCGCTGAAGATTCAACGGGGTCGTTCCAGCGACGGCATCGGTCGCTCCATACAGCGCGCCAAGCGACGCGTCGAGCGACGGCTGAACCGTTTCGGCGGAATTGTGAAGGGCAAAAAGAAGGTGGGCGGCATCGAAGAGACAGCGGATTACAGTCGACGCAGCTCGTCAGACATGTGCGACGGCCCGCGTGAATCCGAGGTGGTCATACTCAAAGAGCGCAAACTGGTGCCCACTGAACCGGTGCGCGTTGGCATGCTCCGCTTATCATTTCTGCTGGAGACCTGTGCGCCAGGCACCTTTCCAGATCCTCAGCTGATTGCAGCCGTCTTGGATTTGGTATGACACCATTTTCATTCCAGCAAGCAAAATGTCCAATCTATTCCAATTACAGCCCCAAGCGCCGTTGATCACGCGTGCCACCTTTTTGCTGGAGTGCGCACACTTTGTGCATCTGTGCAACAAGGGTCAGTGGCCCATTTGGATGAAGCAGAATGTAGGTGGATATCGTGCCTCAGGCGCCAACATTAATCCCTCACAGATGAAGCAACAGGTCAGCCAGACGAGTGCCCGGCGCACACACATCCTGCTGCGTGCCGCTGGCAAAATGTTCCATCAGTGGGCGGAGATGGTGGGCGCTCGTCTTGAGGAGCTGCTCTTCACCGAACGACTGCAATACGAGGCGTTGAATGCAAGTCTAACGGATCCAGAGAAGCAGCGCGAGCTTCTGCAGCAGGATGAGGAGGAGGATTTCCTGGACGAGTCCTCTGTTAATCCGCATGGCAATGACTGCCCGCATGCACTCAAGCTAATTGCCTGCGTGCTACTTTTCGAGATTACGGCCTTTTTGCGAGACACCTATATCACACTGCCCAAGACATCCAAGATGCTGCACCGCGACCGGCCCGCACCCTGGGAGAAGGTGTACCGTGAAGCCAATAGACGTTGGTCCATGGCGCTCAGTTCCATGGGCCACTCGCAGACCTCTGCACAGAGCCTGCAGTCCATAGCAGCAGGCAACGATGGCGCCGGCCAAACCGAGCGCAAAATCTCCTTTGTCCTGCACGAGCCGGACAACGAATCGGAGAACAGCAGCAACACCACCTTAACCAAGGAAGGCAAGGAGGGCGAGGAGGGTGAGTGCTTAGGTTTTTTTAGCATATATCGGATATAATAAATTATAGGTTCTCCCATAGTACCATATTTAATGTTTTAGATTTTTCCAGCTATTAAAAGCTGGGTGCAAGGCATCTCCCTGTGGGGCAGTCTTGACTAAACAGTCATTGTCTTGTTTATAATTATATTCATTAGCAGCTCGTCGTCCTACCGCCTCGACAGTGCGTCCGTTCCTACTGCGACGCGGCACGGCCACCACTACTGGCGGTTCCTTTAAGCGTCGCTCGCTCAAGCTGCGCCGAAACACCAAGGATAGCAAGGATATTGAAACAGATTGTATTTAAATATGTTGAATCCATAAGACCTTTAATATATCATGATCCTCCCTTATATAGTCAACATGCAGTCGCGGCGTAAGGTTTCCTCGCTTTCGGACCGCAGCGATACCTCCGAGCAAGGCGCCATCAGCGGTGGTGAGGAATCGCCGGGCATACTCAGCGATGATCAGCAGCCGGAATCGCCAACAGACTCTAATGAGAACGACGACACGGCCAAGAACATGCCCTGGCTAAAAGCTGTCATTGATCTGTTAACCAGCTACAATTACTACTGCACTCACAGGGGCTACTGTCATCCCTTCTGCTACAAGCGGCACATGCGCTCCTGCACCCGGCTGATAAAGGCAACGCGTAAGGTAAGCCCAACATGGATGTGGTTCGGTTCACGGCCCAAATTACTGCCTGTCTTGAGGTTTGCTGGGTGTAATCGGTTTGAACCTAGGCTAAAATTTTTTTTGCAAAACTTAGTTCAGTTTGAGCTCGGCTACTTTTTGACGAAATCGGATTATTGCTCGAATCGTAAAAGAGAAAATTCGAATGGGCTTATAACTCTTCACCCCAGTGTCGGTCTACTCGTAATTTGCTATGGATTTTGCAGGTTTATGGTGAGGAATTCGGTTTCTCTTTCGATGCGGATCATCCCAACGTGGAGCCCACAGTCATTAGCTCCAGCAAAGCCACAGCTCGACCTCGTTCGACCCGCAAAGTGTCAGAGCAAAGCTCCACACAAACGTCTCCGTCCAAGCGCAAGGACAGTTTGTCCCGTAAAGATCGGTAAGTCTTTAATTAGCTTATTGCTGGAATATCCTTCTTAAAAAAAGATTAATTTGCGCAGCATCAGCGATGATCCGGACATTGAAATGGCTGCGAAACTGGCGCGCGCCTTTCGCCAGGAGAAGGAAAAGAAACTGCAGGAGGAGCCACCTATACTGAAGTTCATACGCATCCACATACGCAATCTGTTCCACTTTCCGCTGACCACCATGCTGAAGGGCGCGGTGGTCCTCACCGAGGAGCTGGTGATTGAGGCCATGCCTGCCGCTTGGGAGCTGCTTCTGGAGACCAACCACGACACAGCCACCTCCAGTGCTGCTGTCTTCCTTATGGGCTCGGTGAAGGCACAAAATTTTGCCTTTGACATAATGCAGCGTGCCCTGAAGCACAAGAATCCGGATATACGCATTGGTGCGATTCAGCGCTACCTTGTGCTTTGGAAATGCCGCTTTCATGTCTGGCCACGCATGGAGGACAATGCGCACGATGCGACCTTTAAGGTGCCACCAGGAGGCATAGAATTTACGCTGCCCTCGCCCAAAATAGGTATCGAGAGTCTGCCCGTTGTGGATCCGCCCTGGATGCCCGTCCAGCAGACCAAGGATATGGATATGACACTGAACCAGG